GCTCATTTTCAACTTCTATTCAATTTTCATACTGCCGTACTCTAACGGAACTATCCACCTACCCTCTTCTAAAGATCATTCTCTAGCTAATAAATCATCACAATAAAGCTTCATGTTAGCATTTCCAACCAACTCTGAAAATCGTTAACTTCGCGTATGAAGTAACACTTTGAAAGTACTCTGTTGCTTTCCGGCGTTTAATTTGCATTTTCAAAACCAAAAGCATTCACATTATGAAGAAAAATTATTCGATTGACTCTTTCAGGATCGAGACTGCTTCGAGACTCACTCAAAATTCACCCTGTTTTTGAAAACAAACGCTCTGATGGCACCGAGGTTGCAATCCTTAGCAAAAGCTTCAGTAGGCACTTGTATAAAAATGGAAATCTGCTCTGCTGCTGCTCCCAGTACGGAAAAATGTCACACGTCATTGATTCGATTCCACTCCTCATATATATGTCAATTTCCTTGCGAATAGAGTCTGGCGTTCGCATTGTTACCCTTCGGTTGTTGTAACTTTGAACCATGCCTTCGTGGTAACTCCATACCCCATAATCGGTAGGGATCTTCATCGGCGGCTCCTCGCCAACAAAATCTTCTTCATCAGATCCTTCATCAGATGCTTATTTCCGTAGCAGCGTTGCGTTCATCTGCACTCTTGAAATGGACATCCTTAAATCGAAGATACAGAAACATACTTGGTCCATAAACAGGCGAGGCTCGGTAGCTTTCAAATCGGGATTGGATTTCTCTTAACAAGGATGCTTGGAGGTTTCTTCCAACCGATGATACTGGCTTCATAGCAGTGATGCAATTGCTCAGACAGTTTATGATATGCAGCACCACCCTTACTGTCGCATAATCTTGACCGCTCAAATCTTCAGTTAATTCATTAAGGGGCTGTAGTAGCAACAATCAATACGAAACTAACGATTTTAAATTGGCTCACTACTTGCCTAGCCTATTGGTCCCAAGCGAATCGATTAATGTACCCCATTCTAGTCAAAATTCTAGTACTACACTATGTTTGTTTTGATTCGCTATGAAAGTTTGACAAATAAATGAGGGGTTTGTAGATTTTCCTATGTTTCGAGGGGTGCATCGATTAGCTTGGGACCAAAAATAGTACCAGAGCTGAGCCAAAAAGTTGAGCTCGTTTCTTCGGGACCTTCTGGTCTTAGAGTTACCTCTATGGTAGTAGCTTGACGACTTCCTCCAGATTTCTTTTTCCCTCCAAGGAGCGACATAATAATCTGTATGAAATTGTACAGCTCTGGAAACCGTTTAACCAACAATCAATACGAAACTAACGATTTTAAATTGGCTCACCACTTTAGTAGCCTATTGGTCCCAAGCAAACGATTAACGTACCCTATTCTAGTCGAAATTCTAGTACTACGCAATGTTTGTTTTGATTCGCTATGAAAGTTTGACAGATAAAATGAGGCGTTATTGGTTTTTCCTATGTTTCGAGGGGTGAATCGATTAGCTTGGGACCGAAGAGAGTACCAGAGCTGAGCCAAAAAGTTGAGCACGTTATTTCGGGACCTTCTAGTCTTAGAGTTACCTCTATGGTTTAACCTTGATAAACTCCGAGTTCCATCTGGTAGGCACAAATGAAGTAATTTTCAAAAGTGTTCTTCTAGCATCATCTTCAATCTGGAGCTTGTTCAATTTTTCTGTTGCGATTGTTGATCTCCGAAAAATGGCAACTATTTTCTTTACTTTATCTATCAGTTCTGAAAGAGCGTTTGTAGTTTCAATGGATTTTTTCGCAACGAGATTGATTGCAAGGGCTACACAGCCAATATGTTTATCTTCAGAGAATGTATCCGCAACAGATTTTAACATATTAGACGCATGGTCTGTAACAATCATGCCCACATGTTCTTTGGGAATTGCCCAATGTTTAAGAACTTCCTCAAAGCAAGTTGAAATGTATGCACTATTGTGTCGTTCATTCATGATATAAACGCCCAAGTCAATCGTATGGAGACTTGTAGAAATTTTAGGGCTCAAAAAGTGACAAGTTACTCCCAAATAGCTCCTAGTAGTATGGCTATCGGTCCTGATGTCGGCAGTAACGGTCATGTCTTTATATTGAATTTTTGTTTTGAAACACTTGACCACTTTCGAATACTTGTCGTCAACTAAGTAGCATCAGCACTAGATTGTAGACCAGATTATGGACAAGCAAGCAGTTAATAAATCAAGCTGAACATTGCATTAGGTCCTAAGTAACATTGATCGATTCTCTTCGTCGACTTTCTCTTTCGTTAATAACTTGAGCACATAACTGTTTATTGTTGTGTTTGTCGTATTAGATGCTAGATAAAAGCTTCTTTTATCGATCTGTGTACCGAACATATATGAGAATATATTTACATGGCCGTGGGAATACAAAGAGAACGTCGACGAAGAGAATCTGCTAATGTTACTTAGGACCTAATGCAATGTTTAGCTTGAAATTTGCAACACAGATTTCCAGATTCCAATCCGGCTTATCCATAGATTACGAGCTGTGTTCTTGCAGGGATGGCTCTGAGCCCGCAATAGGTACTCGACGCGTCGATTACATGACCGTAGTTCATCTTTCCGTCCGTTCGAGTTCTTTGTTTGCTTTAATTGGAGAGGATTTTCTTCCTCCATCGATCAGGACTTCATTTCTGTACACCTGTAAGGAGTCAGTTATTCAAATAGACATCAAGTCAGAATCTTGTGGAACGGTTGAGTTTGCTTGAATACTGTTTGATAACTTGTTGTTGTTGTTGTTGTTGTTGGATTTTGTTGTTTGATGGCTCGATGATCTGTGCCTCATATCCGCCAGTGACATTTTTGATAACTTCCAGTTTCCACTCCGAAAATGAAATTTTAAACACAATCACACATTATATCGTCAGGGTTGAAAAAGTCATGGGATATTGACATCCTAATTAGCTCACTTTGGCCTACTTCAGCACGTAGCGCTTGGCACAGCTTTCTGCACAGCTGAAAATTTCGGCACAGATTAAGACCCCTTGGCTGGGGAATTTATTGATTCCTGACTTGTAATTTAAAAACCGGACCGGAATTTTAAAAATGTTCAAAATTCAGCTTTTTGAAAAAAAATATCTAGAGCTTGAAACATTTCCTAGAGCATCGTCTTAGGCCTGGAAAACTTTCAAGATGATGAAGTGAAAAAGCCTAGATTTTGGAACCAGAGTTTTTTATTCAAAACCTCGAAAAATTTGTTATATACCAAGATCGTAAGCAATGGAAAAAATTAAATTTTTTAATATTTAATTTTTAAACAAATTCACACTGGATTTTGATTTGAAAAATAAATTAAGAGTTATGTCTAAAGCACGACCGCATTGTAGACGTAGAACTACGAGACTATTTTTGCTGGTCCTTTAAATAATATAAATATATTATTAATCGATAGCAAAATAAATGGTTTAGAAATTTAACTCCAAATTTTTTTTTTTAATTAGGCGGTTATTGAATAAATCCTAAAATTAAGATTAAATTTTTGAAATTAGAAAATCAGTTCTTTTATTATTCATAATTAGGTTCCAAACATGTTCACTCAACATTCGGAAACTTACTTATGTTAGTCATGGCAAAACAACTTTAGAAATCAAAGTGCACCTGACATCACAAATCTTTATGTTGCAGAACTAAGACAGCCAAGTGGCTTTCAACTGCAACTTATTTAAGTTAACTTAAATTCAGTTAAACTTTACCTGTGCTCAATTAAAAATCTATACAATATTAAACGTTGTAATTGAATAAATGGAATGTCAATTTGATTGTTTCATTGAAGCATATTAAACACCCAATAGAATGGATTAAACCCCATATAGTTCCAGTTCATACATTTCATTATACTTTGTTCTCTTTTCTTTCGAGAAAGATTGCATATATCGTGAGATATTCACCCATATTCTTGTTTTCTTTCGAACCAAAATAAAACATGTTTTTGTATGGTTCGAACGGTTCCAACGAACAAGTCCCAAGCATCGTCTATTGGTTCTCTGTGTAATTACAGCTGACCTGACAATAACAGAGTAGCAATCGTGGGCGGTCAATCATGCTCATGCTCGAACGGTTCCAACGAACACAATAATATAGGTGAAATACAAAACACTAATTATTTGTACTTTGTGTAGTCGCCATTTCCCAAGTAACGGCAAATAAAAATGAAGTTGAAGACAGAATTTGGAATTAATTGTATTCATCTGAACAACTTTTCCAAAGACAATAACATTCTATGTAGCAGAGCAGTCAAGTTAAAGCAAGCAATCAGAACATGCCGACATATATGAGAATTCTGATCTGAGCTTTCCAGTATACAATATGTCTTATCCATCTGAATAGCTTTACAAAGACAGCAACCTCCTACCTATTTGAAACACTGAAAACCAAACTAACTCATATTGAATTTGTTTATTATTCAGTTCCAACCTGGATCGGGTATCAAGATCGATTTTTTATCAAAACCTACCTCAGGTTGTGGTTTGCACTGACAAAAAGTTCGGTTTCGTAAGTATTGCCTAATTCACTGCACTTTTATAAAATTCTCAGCATTTTTACGAAGTTCACTAAAATTTTACGAAGTTCGCAGAACTTCTACAAATTTCACAGAGCTTGTACACAATTTGCTGCACTTCAAGAAAGTTTCTTGAACTTAAACGTAAATTTCGGAACTTTTACAAAGTTACCTAAAGTTCCGTGAAGATCCACAAAGTTCCTTGCAGTTCTAACACGTTCCCCAATTTTTAATACGTTTTTGCTGTTAATCAATTGATGTTCTACGTTGCCCTTAACTTCTAAGAAGTTCCCTGATCTTCTGTAAAGCAATAATTTTATGCATCAGTTCTATACATCAAATTTGAAAAGCAGCGCTGAAGGCATATCAAGACATTCATCTGGTCGCATCCGTGCTGTTGCTAACTCCAGCTGCTGTTCAAGTATTCCATATCCCATTCAATTACTCATCACTCCTAATTTACCTCCCTAGTATGACACTTCTGAATGGCACTCACCTCTCTCCCGATCATCCCCATCACTCTCCTACCGATCCCGCTTTTCCTGCATTGCTCGAATATGGCCACTCAACCCTCCGCCCGCATTTCATCCCCTATAAAAACCCCCTACTTACTCTTAATGATCATCACCTTCTTCGCTTTCCGGTGCTTGCTGTGCACTTTGGCAATGTGTCGATTCAGCGTGTACCCCCGGAGGAACTTGAGCCCGCAGAATTCGCAAGCCGTCACCGTAAGGCCCGGAGCCAGCTCACCATGCACTTCGTACATGTGCCGCTTCAGGTTGTACGACTTGGTGAACCGCATCTGGCACGGATCGCACGCCAATGAGCATCGCGTCCCACGATCCCACGCGTGCACGCTGTCCATGTGCTGTTCGAAATCGTAGTGCGTCGAGAAGCTCTCCTGGCAAAGTTCGCAATCCGGTGGCGGTTTGTTCGGGTCGAGCTTCCCCTTCCGGAATGCTACCCGAGAGGGACGTGATTCTGATAAGTTGGCCGCGGATGACGCGGCTTCTGCACCTGCTCCTGCTGGAAGAGCTATCAACCCCGGACTGCTTCCGCCGAGCGAAATCTGATTCACTTGCACCGAAATCGATAAGCTGCTCGTTTGGGAGTACAGCGAAATCTCCGCTGGAGACTGAAAGCTACTACTATTGGCTACAAGACTAGAATCTACTGACTGTGGTTCCCCATCCTCGTCGTCGTCTTCCTCCTCGTCCGGTTCTTCCTTGCAGTCGTCTATCACAATCGTCGGAGGCTCCTCTGAATCTTCTTCTTCCTTGATCAGAACGTCCGGTTCTATGGTGGCAATTTGTTGTTGTGCTGCTTGCGCAGCAGCAGCTGCAGCTGCTGCTACTACCGAAGCCGCCGCCGCCGCCGCCGCAGCAGCAGCAGCGGCAAGCTGTTGCTGTTGCTCGACGGCCAAACGACGCTCTTCCTCCTCCTGCCGTTCCTTTTCCAATTCTCTCCGCGTTCGAATCATCACATCCTGACGAAGACACTCCTCCCGAAACTGACAGAACAAATCCAACATCTGTAGGCATTTGTCGCAGATGACCGCTCCGGAATCCTGTGTCCGCGTCAGGGTTACCGAAGTCAGGACGTCAATCATCCGGACCAGCTCATCCTTAGGGTCTTCATCGCCGGGGGGAAACAGCGGATGTATCACCACCCCCTCCGATGCACACAGTCTGCAAAAGTACTCCAGGGTGCTAGGTGGAGGAAACCGAGAGGGGGAGGCCCAAAGTGTTAGGGCAAATATCACGGCGAATTTCAACGATACTCACTATTCGTCATTGTCCATGGCACGCAGCAGTGGTTCCGGTCGGTTTGCAGCAGATTGGTGCTGATTTATTGTTCGTTTTCGCGGTGATATTTTTATTTTTAATTTTATTCTCACTGTCTCGGCTGCGAGACACCCACCAACGCACAATCACGACGGACTTTTTGTTTACAAGCGAATCGCGATGTTCTGACAGCTGACTGGAATTGACTGACGTTTCGGGAGCTCCATCAGACTCGCTTTCTGGTGGGGGTGAAAAATATTTCAACAGATCTCGGAAGTGGTGAATATTAACGACGGTGCGTATTTCGATGGATTATTTATATTTAATTAAATAAATTTTATCGGAAAAAAAGTACACTCAACAATTAATTAAATAAAAAAAGCTTAAAAAGTATGCAAATTCCCGTTTCACCGTATTGAGTCCGAACTAGAGTCCGAACCATGATTACTTCGGAAGTAGTAATGTATGATAAAATGCGAAATAATCACTTGTGATAAAAATTTATGTTTTCAGTATTAAATTTTATTCTTTTAGAATATTAATAAATATTGAAAAAATATTACATTCAATCTAAATTGATAAAAATTCAATAAAAATGATTAAAATAGAATCAAAACTTATTAAAAATTTATTCAAACAAGATAACTTTCAGCTTAATGAACCATGATTAAACCATTAAACTGGTATTAATATTAGATTATTAGTTCTTAGCAACAGATAATTAATGTTTAATCATTAGATATTCACCCCTATTCTGTATTTGAAACGAAATGCAGAATAGGGGTGATTATTGAACTGAGTTTAATGTCAAATAATTTTTTTTTTCTTCGTTAGAGAGACTTTCAGCCAGTGGCTGATTTTGTTCAATATGCAACACATTCCACGTAACGAATTATCTGTTGATGATCACAAACCTGTAAAGAGTGTATGGGAATAATAATTCATGTTGATGCTACAAATAATCAGAAATACGAGCATAACGTTCAAACTGTGAAATCCTTTCATGTTGTAATAAAGATGCTGAATATTGCTAACCGGCTTGGAAATCCGAACGAGCGTTTTATCAACGCATCCTACTCACTTAAATTTTTTCGCCGAGATTCCAACAGCCGAGCAGTTCTGCAATATATTTTGCTGAGATTCAGTAAAACATTCGCCAAGACTCAGCTAACAAATGACATTTTGCTGAGATATCAGCTAACAAACAGATATGATCAGCAAAAGTAAATGCCGAGGTAATCGGCTGTTGGAGATTTTACCGAGCTAGATTAAGTGTTATATTACACCAGGGAACCAGTTTTTTTTTTTCGTAGAGTCCACGTTTGATTTCATCCTTTTCGTTATCTGAAACAGGGAATTCTATACAGAGCTGGAAAAAGGGCCTAATGATCGATTCTCTTCATCGAGTTTCTTTTTTGATAACCACGGCTATGCAAACAGTTTTCGTGCTATTTTGCCACATAGCATGATAAAGGAGGTTTTTATCGTCCAAATCGTCAAATACAACAGGGAATGTTGTTGCAGCTGAGTTATCAACGAAAGAGAAAGTCGATGAAGTTAGGTGCAGAACCGGTTATGATGACATCTGTAACGCAGTTTTTTCTTGCGCCTCTAGAGCATGACTGTTGGATACCCTAGTGGCCCGAGGTAGACAACCCTTCCGTGAAGTAAGATATGTATTGGGAATCCGTGATCTTCCCTACATGCAGGCGATCTACGAATTCCTTTGTTTGTCTGATGATAGAGTTTGATGTGACCATCTCCTCATTTCCAAACAATTTCCAACCATTGTGTCCCAGTCTTATTATCCTCCTGTTTCTATGCTTCTTTTCCCCCTGCCCAGCCAGGATTTGGTCAACCGTCCGAGAGTTTCCTACCTAGCTCCTTCCAATCGAAATTGTTACCCATTAACCTCGAGCCCACCACAAGTAATTGGTACCCAATAGAGTCGGTGTATAATGAGTCACGCCAAGAGTGAAGCCAAGTCTACACACAAAAAACAAAAACTGTATCGGTAACAATATTAACCTTTCAATTTAAAAGTATCAAAAAAATCGTTATTCTAACTACGAAAATGTTTGATACAACAAGGTTGTTTTTAATTCAAAAGTGATTGTTTTAATTTTAACTTGTAGTTTTAAAAGCGCAGATTTTCAAATTGAAAATTGTTTAACTGTCAAAATTACTTTTCATGTGTTGATTTCTACCCATTTTTGGGTAGTTTTAGGATAGCGTGAGCAAACAAAAAGAAAAACGCGCAAAACGGGAGCTACATAAACTTCAGTTTTTTTAACTTGTACTAGAAAGTGTGAAGATTTGGTCTGTAACGCTGTAACTGCTTGCAAATTAGAACCCATGTACTTCTGCACTGGCGGAGTGTGCCATACGGCCGAAAAAGAGATTTTTTTTTCATTTCAGTTGCAGCTGCTTGACATTGTAGTTTGGGAGAGCAATTTTTTATTAAACCGTAAGTAATTTTTGAAAACAGATAATTTGCATAATTGAATTACTGATTATTGCTTATACGCAGGTATCATTAATTTAGCCGAGAGGGAATCCGGCCAACGTTGATCCTTTTCCGGGCGAATCAATCCGGTAATTTGAAATTCTATTCCGTGGAACAAATAATATTTATTGATTGCTTTTGAAATTGTAGGATGAGAAACACGCTTGGACCAGTAATTTGCGGAAAATGGCATCCTCAGGCAGTGGCGAATCGCCAGTAGGCCACGAGCATCAATCATACACTGTCTATCGGAGACATTTCGTAGCCTACAGCGGTGCAAGATGTTAGAGAAGGCCCTAGCAGCAGCAGGTTTAGCTGACGGACGCCGAGAGAAGTGCCCTCAATCAGTACTACAAGGATCTCAAGTGAAAAATGTCGATCCATACCAGCCTGCTGTCTAAAAAAACTGCCTACCCAATCCGACGAATATGCAGTGCGGAACCAGACAATGATATCAAATTGTGAATAAAAAATAGAGAAATAAATGAATTTGTAATTTTTAATTAAAAGGATGTAACTATATTGAATATACTACTTTTGAAATAAAAATATTTAATTTGCATTAAAAATAACAATTATTGTCTAAAGTATACCGTACTTTCATGTCAAAAGTTTGTTTTGAATTAAGAGTAATACGCTTTTAATTTCAACCATGCCACGCTTTTAATTTGACAGTAGAACAATTTATTTTGAAAGTTTAAACTTTTAAAAGTCATGAGCGGGCAACTTTTAAACTGACAGTTGACGAACTTTCGATTTAAAAGCTAACCGCTTTCTACCAAAAAGAACCAACGCAAACTTTTAATTTCACCGATGCTTTTTTTAATTTTACTAACGATTTTTCTTTGTGTGTACCTATTGAACTGTCAAGCCCGCTATCTATCGTGCAAAGTAAACAATCATTACACTGAACCAATATGACATATTCCTGTTATGTGGAAATCTTATAAATTTGCGCTATAAGATAATCCATTGAAAATGATATGATTAAAAATGTGGCAGGTAAATTCTATATGAATATCTGAAACATTGACAATGCTGATAATTTGAAAACTTTTATATGATCGCCATATGATAAATGAAAATCGATCAAATTATAATAATTAACTGAAATGGATTTGAAACCCATAAGCATAAGCTACACTTTTCACCACAATATAATATATGTGTCATAAATCAATCGAAGTAAAGTTTGTGTGAAAATCACATGAAATTTACTTCTTCTTTTGACACATATATTTAATCGATTTCTAAAAATAAATCGAAAAATAAACATCAGGCAGTGGGAGCTTTCACAGTTGTGCCTTTTTTTATTGTAGCTGATTTGGGATTCGATCAAGGACTGTTGAGGTGTAATGCTTTCGGTGTCTGCGCTCGATATCACTGGGCCACGGCTGACTTCAAGATTGAGCTCGTTCAAATAGCATGAATAGTAAGAACAGCTCTCCCGACATGGAATGCAGTGCAACGTTATGCTCGTTTTGCTAGAGTGAAGACAAATAGCACTGACAAATTTATGTTCCGTTTCGGTGGTGTGGTTTGTTCAAATCTTTCTTAATGCACCTGTGTGCAATAAATCAACGACTAAATTATATAAGTTGATGTAACTGGTTCATGAAGTTCGAGTAGTAGGGCTGGAATCTGAATAAGCCGTGTAGAAGGCTTACAATTAGAATCATAGCAAAGTAAATATTGCAGTAGATTCATTTTTTTTCTCAATCTCAATACATTCTTTTCCGGAAACAAACAAAGATTATTCAATTCAGTATCATTGTTGTTAGTAGTATTTAGTTCAACTAATCATTTTAATGAGTGTACGATAACATCGTTGAAAATTGTTTCAATAATTTATAAAGAACAATCATGTAAGATGTATTTTATTGGGAGCGATATTCAGCCCAGAAAAACATGCAAAAACAAACGTTTGCTGTTGGATAAAAGGCATATCTATATGACTATTAAATGATTGGGATGGACTGTTTACAATCTTTAAACCTCAAAAATCAAAGGAAGCTATTCCAATGAGATATACATGTTTTCCTATACTGCAAAGTTAAATGACAGTCCAATAGTTTCTACATGTCTGTTTACACGCGACATATCAACAAACGTCAAAAATCATTAAAAGCAACTCCAATAAAATATACATCATTATCTTATAAGATATACATTTTAGTGAGCAATATTCATCATGAAAACAGGTATATTTTACTGGATTTTCTCATAGTGCAAACTTATATGATTTTCCATTAGTTTCTAGATGTCTGTTCCCACCCATGACATACACACTTAGAAATTATTACCGTATTCGGTAATTTTTTACCGAACTTTCAACAGCTGAACGTTCGGTAATCAGTTCGGTTAACGAAAAGACTACCGAACGATCGGTAAACGGATTTTTCGATGAACTGTCAAAACTACCTAACAATTCGGTATTTATGTACCGAACGATTCGGTTATTTTTTACCGACCTGTTCCGTGATACAAACATTGTTGATATTTAATGTTTTT